TGTTGCTGCTGATCTGTTTCATGTTGCTGCTGATCTGTTTCATGTTGATGTGTTCATGTGTGCTCATCTGCTCACACAGACTCATGCTCATGTTCGTGCTGCTGTTCGACGTAATGTTTTTATGCTATTAGTGCTTAGTGTATTTTTAGTTTATGTTTTTCTTAGTTCATATCTTGGATGTTATCATTGTATTTCTTTTACATTTTATTGTTGGATGTAACTGGGACCCTGTGTGCATTATTTCGCTCCACCACATGTACCACATGAGGTGCGAACGACAATAAAGAATCTCTGACTTCGATATATTAAAAACAAAAAGTGTTTTATTAAATAAACATCAGTTTGTTCTAAATAAAACTTGATCCCTGCTGTTAGGACCAAACATTAATGTGTTGTTGTTCTTCTTCATAATATGCTCCTGCCTGGTGTCCAGCTTTGCGTTTCTTCATATTTTGAACAAATGTATAAATTAAAAACATTTTACAGACATGTTGATGAAAGCATGAAACACATGCAGAACGCTGTGGGTGGTTCTGAAACATTAGTGAATTATTAGTCGTTGTTGAAAACTTTAGAAACACTTCCTCTTTACCAGAAACATGTTATTCACGGTTTGGGCAGAAGATTATCTTAGGAAATTATTATTTAAATGTAATTCCTCAAAACCAAATAATTTACTGATATATTTCAGATTGATTAGTCAAATCTAAAAGGCCATTTCATTAGAATCTGATGCAGTTAATGAGCATTATGGAGCAATTTGGACCTGTTCTCTAATCCAGCTGTTTGTGTTGCTGCTGTGTTTTTGAGTGTCTGACCCAGATGTGTGCTATTTCTTTTTTCCCACACGTTCACGTTAACAGACAGCAGGAACGGAGGATTCATTTGTTAGCTGATCAGCTAAAATAGCTGGATCCCTCCCTTTCGTGGTTCTTTGCCAACACAAAATAAATCCTGAATCACTGATGTTACTGCTGCCGGTCTGATTGGTGTTTGGTGTCTTCCAGGAGAACCGTGAGCGGGAGTGTGAGTGGAAGCGGCAGTAGTTATACTGGTTCTAGCTCCAGATCCTCTTCTAATTCTCTGTCACGCTCGCGCTCCGGATCCAGGAAATCCAGGTACTCACCCACACTCCCGTCAGAACGACAGATTGCTTAGATCTGAGGTGATCCGATCCACCAGGTTTATCCTCAGGAGGAAATCTAGAGCATCTGTTTGTCGTGTTGTTTGTTTGTTTTTTTACACGTCATGTTGAAACATAAAGCCACATAAATCTGTTTACTGAAAGAATATGAGTAAAGCTTCATGACACCCTCCTTAATAAACTACACAGCAGCAGATGAGCAGTTTCTGACCTATTAATCTATATATTGAGAATTTCTGTTTTTATATTGAGTCCTGTTTCCAGTAGAAATTAAAACCTGATCATTTTTGTGCAACAGTTTCCTGAATCAAACGTTAAAGGACTTGTTTGAGTTTAGCCTGATTTTTCGCCCTGATATCTATAAATTGTGTTCCTTCGTGTTCCTCTGTTGGGCAGTCCTGGGAATCCAGGTGAGCGACGGCCTGACTGGGTTTTCTGAGGGTTGTTGAGTCATGTGTGAACTCATCTCTTGTTTCAGATCTCTGAGCGTGAGCAGCGTGTCGTCAGTGTCGTCGGTGTCGTCCAGCAGCAGCTCGGTACGCAGCGCCGATTCGGACGATATGTACGCTGACCTGGCCAGCCCGGTGTCATCGGCCAGTTCCCAATCGCCCACACCGAATCAACCCCGCAGGGAGCGAGTTCCTGCACGGGACCGGTCCCCAGTGGGACGGGACAAAAACAGAGGTCAGTGTAACATGAAACGCAGCATACCTACAAGTCATGGTTTCCAATAATGCAGTGCTACAAAGGTCATAAATCAAAGACTCTGTTAGTTTTCACATCTGTACCTCAGAAACCTGGAAAACAACAAATGCTCAGTCTGGTCTGATCAAACTTGTACTTTTGCAGCTTTGATCAAAAAGAAGCCGTCTGCCACCGGTTTCTAGGCCTCTACCTTTACCGTCTCCACCATTTCTCCCTTCATCTGTTTTTGTCTCCCGTTGAAGAGTGAAGTGGAAACACCCTCCATCTTTGTTTTCAGCAGGACAACTTGAAAAATAAGTGAGACACTGACCTCCATTTTGATGTGTGGCTACATCTAGGCATAAGAGAGCTCTCAAAAATTTGGTCGCCGCATCAAAATCCAAGATGGCCACCACCATGAATGTATGTAAACCAACCATTCCAATCATTTAAGAAACTACTTTCTAGTTTTTATATTTCTTAAAGGTATATCAAAGTTAATGCTCAATAATACAGATAAAAAAAAATCCAGCAGAGTTCACTCAGGTCTTCTGGATGGTTTCTTTTTTTGTTGAGACGTTTCTGGGGCCGGCCCTCTCCCCCGTCGACTCCTCTGAGGCAGCCATAGCTCCACAAACCATCTTATCACCAGCAAACTTGTTGGTCCACTTTGTGGGTGTGCTGCTTGTGGGACTCAGTTTGTTGTGGCTCCTCGGACTGATGAAGTCCTTTGGATGAAGGACTAAACGTCTCAACAAAAAACGAAACCATATGGCCTGACAACTTTGTTGGCTTAAAGGTATAGTTTCCTCAAATGATTGGGGTGGATGAAGATTAATCTATGGGGGCCAAGGCCACCATTGGCCACCCCCTGGCTCCTCCATTGCTCCTAGAGGTGGATAAAGCATCTCCCTCCTCTCTCCAGGATCTCTTTACAGGAAACAACCTCCCTCTGTTCTTCTCCACAGAGTAACTCCTCCACTTGAACATCTTGCATCAAAAACATTTAGGTTTACTTCGTTCACTGTTTAAGGCCAGTCCAGAAAAACACTCATCTTCAAAACTACAAACATTCAGTGTTCCGATCCCTCAGAGACGGGGGGGCATCGGAGCACCGCTTGTTGTTAATGGTGTTTTCGTCACTTCTAGAGGATCTAATCTGTTCTGTTCCTCTTGTGTGAAGCCTCATTTAAATATGTGTTAACCTTCAGTTTACCATCTAAATGTTGGTTAATCACTCGGAGAAATACTCCTGAATATTCCTGTAGGGTTACGTTGCTCGTTATCTCGATGCAGAAATTTGATGTTGGCTAGAAAACCTCAGCTTCCTGTTCAGAAGCCCTCGTCTTCCTTGAAAAAGTGGCCAAACAAGTCTTTTCCAGCTTCTCAACATTCTTTGTATTTTCTTTGTTAAACTTGAATTTAAATAATGTTAAAATGTTTACTGAAATAAAATCCTTCAAGAAATGTAATATTTCAACCCCTATCATCCACCTAGATATATAATGATGCTGTACAGTTAAAAGTATCTGTAGGTGTTTTATTTAACAAATATACATTTATATCAGATTTAATTCCAGTTTGATCAGATTCTTCCTTTTAGAAACTGGTACTAATCATTTTTAATCCCGATCCCCGTGTGTTAATGAACCTTTGGTAATATTTGATTGTCTAATTTAAACATGTTTTATTCCACATTATTTTAAAACCGAAAGCCTAAAAGTAAATGGAAAGATATTCTTGTATTTATGGATATTTTTATATTTAGCGTGTAAAAAATAAAACAAAATCTAAGGAATATATTCAAATAGTTTTAAACTCTTGACTTTGCTTGGTTCTAAAACTAGATTTTATAAATGTTTTGCAGAGTTTTCATCCGTTTCTTCTTCTCTCCTCACAGAGAGACCGTCAAAGAAAGACGAGTCTTTCAGGGACGAGCGCAGGAAAATGGACCAGTCGGGGGCCCCGCCCAGAGGGGCAAACCCTGTCCCCAGGTCAGGACCTGGGAACAGGGGCAGCCACCCGGTACACCCGAGACCCGGCAACATGGGCCCCCCTGGAAACTACGGAGGTTCAGGCTCCCATAAAGACATCAAACTGACCCTCCTCAATAAGGTAATGAACTTTTTGTGCTGTTTTTACTCTGTGGTGGCAGCGATACCTGGTCGTCAGGGACGTTTCAACCTCTCGCCTCACTCTCACAACAAAAAAGGCCAATTGTGGCTGTTTTTTGTCAATTTGCTGCAAATGTTTGAGCGACGCTATTTTTTTTTTTGCTTTGTTACATCAAAGTGGGACACTTAATCTCTCCTCACATAAAAGGCCACCTAGTCCTGCAGAGTTCAGTGTTTTCATTTTCATCTAAAGGTAGAAACTAAACGTTTTTACTTCTTTACATCATAGTGTTATTTTTTGTCCCAAAATGTAAAAATGTTTAAATTCATTGATAGCTAGTTTTAAATTGTCACCCCCACTGGTCAGAAATCCCCCTCCAGCTACCTCAAAGTGGCCCGTGGGCCACCAGTTGATCTTCACAGTTGTAGCAGATTTCGTGGCTCCGGGCTCTTTTTTTTATTTAATGAGTGAAGCGGCAGAAATGTCTCTTGGATCACAAAGTTACAGACCTCTGCTCTAGTTAAACAAAGAACTACTGCTGATTGTGGTTTACCTTAATAAACAAATGTTATCCAATAAACCTCTTTAAAGCTGGGGTCAGTAATAAGACGTCTAACAATAAGTAACAACAAGCAGCTTTCAAAGCAGCCGCGGGACATACCGTACGTATAAGACCGTTATTTTGACACGTCCTGGTGGATTTAAATGGTTGAAAAGTGTTTGTTTTATCCAGATGATTCTGAACTGTCAGCTTTTCTCATGACCCAAGTTTAAAAGTGTGGACATGCTTTAATGTGAATCCTTCAGTGTCCAGTGTTTCCATGTTTTAGAATGAAGGACCTGGCCTTTCTGGTAGAAGAGATATGTGATCACAGTGGGATTTTCCTGGTTAAATAAAGGTTAATAAATGATAAATATCTGCATATTTTATGTTCTTTTAGCCACTCATGGATCAAAACCTTCAGCTCGTTCAGGAGGTGGATGCTGTGACTTTTATTTTCCTAACTTGAATTCTTTTCAAATGATTGAGCTTTTACTTCATATGCAACGGTTAGCATTTAGCTATGGTTTTGCTGATTTTCAGCTGCTGTTCTGCTTGTTTTAACTTAACAGTTTCAGTTTCATCCTGAACATATTTCAGCGATGGTCCATCATTCATGCTGTGGTTTACAGAAAATATAATTTTTCTGGTTTAACCGTTCTCGTGAACAGGATGACGTTTAGTTAAAACAGGTTTTACTCTAAAGATTTAAATAATAATCACGTTAAAAATTTACAAATTAAAAGGTCCCAGCTCCATCTCGACAGGAAGACTATCTGCTGACTCAGGTGAAGTTAAAACCTGATTGTTGAGGAGAGGATGGTTTTAATCTCGGTGGTCAAAAGTCTCTTTCATGTTTTATTCTTCAATGTGTTTCTTTCAGGCTCAGGATCTCCTGGACTGGCGTCTTCACGTTCCTCGTTTCTTTTCAAAGTTTAACTCCTGATGTTTTGTCGTTTCTCAGCAGCAGGGAGACCGAGGCAGCAGGAAGCGGTACCTCCCTTCAGACAAAGACCTGCCCGGTTCCCCCGCCAGTAAGAGATTGGCCATGTCTCCAGACAGAGGTGAGGGACACACCTGAGCAGCAGAACTCTGGTTGTTCTTTCAACAAGGAACTTCTTTAAAAAGACCGGCTGGTTTAGTTTCTGTGGCTAAAATTAAAATCACTGATCAATATGATGCTTTTGAGTTGGGACACCTTTAAGATCTAACCTGTTCCTCTAGAACCAACCCAAGAACTGAGTCCACATCCTTGGCTGGTTCCTGGTACTGGTCTCTGATCCTGTTTGTGGTCTTCATGGACAGGATCTCAGTCATAGAGAGGTGGGGGTCAGAGTAGAGCTGCTGCTCCTCGTCTAAAGGAGTCAGCTGAGGTGGTCCAGACTCTGATTAGGATGCCTCCTCTGGAGGAGGAGACCCAGAATTCTCTGCAGGGATCATAAATCCTCACTGGCCTGGAAACACCTTGGGATCCTCCAGGAGGAGCTGGAGATGAAAATGGACGACTTTAGAGTTTGTTCCATCTGTTTTATATCTGCCGGGGTTTCCCGCTCAAACGGGAGGAAAGAAAACGTCACAAAAACAACTTGTGTTTGGGGAAGGGGTCCACCCCCAGAAATTTTTGAGTAAAGTAGATGCCATTTCCTGCATTCTGGTGTATTTTGATGGGTGGTTAAACATCTACGTTTACCTACACAAGTCTCTCCTTGTGTGAACAGAGATGCTCCGCTTCTCTTGGACGTCCTAAGCACCCCACCCACACCCCGTTGAGTGTTATCTCCATTGCCACTGCCTTCATGCGCTTCAATTCTCGGTTGTTTAGTTGTACAACGAGAAGATATTTTTAAATTAAAGTCTTTTTGACATTTTGATTACTGTTATTTTGACAAATTGGCGCCTTTGTTTTGAAACGTGACGTATGTCAGGTGATTGCCCATCAAACATTTCTCTTGTATTTTTAATAAATAATCAGAATACACATATATATATATATATATATATATATATATATATATATAATGACCCACTTAAACTGTACAACTGATTTGCAGTTTAGTTGTGCTGTTTAATTATATTTTTGTGTTTTTTAATTAAATTGTCCGTGACTGAACTTTTAGGGGCGGAGATTTTATTAAGGGTAGAAGCGGAAATGCTTACTTGAAGGGGCAGCTCTTTTGTGATATTAGGAAGCTCGTGAGTGGCTGTTATGTTAAAAATTCATGTTTATGTAATTATTTTCAGATTACATGTCCAATGTAGGTTTTATTCATTGAAGGCAGTAAGATTTAGTAATCCTGAGAGTTACCAGATCCGTGCAAACAGTTACTGGAACGCACCCTGTCAAAATAAGAGAGCTATCCTGTTCCAGCAGGATCCAGCTCAAATTAAGCACTGAATATTACTACTACTAATACTACTGTGTATGTATGTATGTGTATATAACAAAATATTTAAGCAGCTTTATTATCATCAATAAGCATTAACTGGTGTTTTTCAGGACGGGATAAAAGAATTCCTGGGCGGCCCCTACAGCCCCCCCAGATGGATCGGTCCAGAGGGCAGGGACCTCGCCCGGCGCCACCCCAGGAAAGGTTGGTGCAGCTTTTGTGGTTCTATTTGTCGGATGGTGTTGGGCATCAGTCAGCTGGAAGTCTGGACTTTCTGGAGTCACCTTTGGTTCCTGATTCGTCTTGGTTGACATCAGATTAACCCTTCAGGGTTTTCAGAACCTGAAGTCCAGTTGTCACAAGAGCATCGACCACAAAGAGGAACACGCCACAAAAAGTGGAAGCAATCTGATATTAACTGCTCAGATAAAAATATTCACTCTGCCCTGCAGCAAAAGTCCCAGAATTAAATAGATCCTAAGTGTTAAATCAATTTAAAAAAACAAACCCTTAAAACAATTAGTCTTATTCAAGACATCTATATGAAGAGGAGAGTTCGAGCAGTTCTGAGTCATTGTTTCACCTGAAACTGATATTTGTAGTTCGTTTGTGGGTTTTTCACCTCTTATCTCCTGTCCATCGCTTTAATAAGAACAGTGTGTCAGTGTCATTTAACCTTTCAACACAAATCAATCGTCAAAAATGTTTCTGTAAATCAACCTTTAAAGGTCCGATTGGGTAGAACAGAAGGAAAGTGTCTCGTGGACGATGAAAGGTGTTCATAAACCGTCCCACACCAAGTGTCCGTGCATTAACTGTTCAGCTTGACGTGGAGGATGCACGGCCCTTTATAGTCCATGAGAACGAGTTTTAGCTGTGAAACCTGTTTTTTTCTTTGCGTACCAGCAGAGCTTGGTTTGGACGTGTGAGCAGCTTTAATGTAAAGATGAGTCAGACGGCGGAAACCGTCGTTCACCTGAGGAATGTTTCCGTCACTGCTTTTTGTTTTCCACCAGCAGGTCGGAGTCTGTCCGAGCCAAAGGTTAAGGATCACCTGGAGGTTTTATAGTTTGTTGGCAGCAAACAGTCCAGGATGATGAAAGTTCATCAGTTTGGTTTCACTTTAGAGTCGAACCGGTTCATCAGCTGGGATTACCTGTTTACCACAACAACACAGACCGCAATACAACAATTAAAAGTCAGCAAATACAATAAACTGGTATTTGATTTAAAAAGTTGGCGAACTCAGACAAAAAGGATAAATGCGGGATCTTAAAGGAGCTTCATCAAACAGGTTTTTTGTTTCATTTTATTTTATTTGTTTTTTTTGTTTTTTTTTGTGTTGTGAAAGAGAGGGAAACGTTTAAAAGATGTTCAGTATTTTTTAATAAAGATGAAATCAGGAACTCTGTAAATTCCAGACAGAACTTAATTCAGCTCCTCTTTGTTAAAAAAAAATAACAATCTTCTGTTTTGTTATAGTGTAAAAAAAAATTATTTTAATGTTTTTACTGTGTCGGACACCTTTAGTGTTTGTGTTAACTCGTCTGTAATCGGTTTCATCCTTCAGCTGATATCACCTTCCTGTTCTCTCTCACATCAGCCAGGACTTCAGTTCATCTAAAGGCAGTCAAGTTTTTATTTTATTTTAATCAAAAACTGTCCATAAAACGAGTTAGGTGTTTATTTATCTGCTTGTAGTTGGACAGGTAATCACATTGAGACAGGTCACCCCCGTTACTTGAATAACAAAACAATAATCATGAAACGTAAAATATTATCTTGACATTTGAAAGGAACAGAGTTTTATTAAAGCCTAAAGCAATAACAGATGTGAAATTATGGGTTTTCTTTACTTAAATTTATTTTAAAATGCCCCAGAGGGTCAAACTGGACAGTCATTTTTTGCGGAGTTGTTTTATAAAATGCCTTTTTTCAGTGTGCGGAGCTGCCAGTCGTTCGTATAAACATGACCTTTGTTTCGTCGACATTTAGCATCAGTTTCAGTTGAAGTAGAGCTGCAGGAACAGATGTTGTAGATGATAAACGACAGTCTCATCAGCATATAAACGCATACTGACTCACTTTATTAACATAAATCCAAAAACTGCATAGATCCCAGAAGGGAGCCTTGTGGGACACCTCTCATGATTCTCTGATGTTATGGTGACAGGACAGAGTCTGTGTCCGAGCCAAAGGTTATTAAGGCTCATCTGGAGGTTTTATATATAGTTGTGGGCAGCAAGCAGTCCAGGATGATGGAAGTTCATCAGTTTGGTTTCACTTTAGAGCCGAACCAGTTCATCAGCTGGGATTACCTGCTTACCACAACACAGACCACAATACAACAACTAAAAGTCAGCAATTACAATAAATAAGCGGGTATTTGATTAAAAAATAGATTAGTTGGCGAACTCAGACAAAACATTTTTATTCTAACACTATAAAGAAATATGGGATCTTAAAAGCGCTTCATTAAAGAGTTTTAAAAACTCGTTTAAAAATCGTCTGACTGTTTTCTGTGAAAGAGGGACCTCCTAAAGCCTTTGACGAAGGATGGAGTGATCCACATCAGAACCTCGGCCTTGAGCCTAATTCAGAAACCCCCAGACCAAGAATGGACGTTTTATAAAAACAACAACTTTTTAATTTCTAACATTGCTAACACACAAACAATTAAATTCAGTTTATTTCTAAAGCTCCAAGTTCCAACAGAAGTCGTCTCAGGGCACAAAACAGAAACATTCACATACATTGTAAAAGCCAGTTTCTGTAGTAAAGTTCTCTGTCTAAGGAAGCAGCAGATTGTGTTTAATTTTCACTTCGTCACAGTCTCCCATCCTGAGCAAGCACAAAGGAGACAGTGGAAAGGAAAAACTCCCTTTTCACAGGAAGAAACTTACAGCAGAACCAGGCTCAGCGCAAGCGGCCATCTGCTTCGACCGGCTGGGGTTTGAGATGAACAGGAAGGAGAAACAAACACACACAGAATGACGGGTCCAGGTGAACTTTCTATTGGAGAAAAGACAAAAAACGTTAAGATGGAAATGATTCTAAATACAAACACACAAACAGTGAGGAAATGTGGTCAATTTGTCCTCCAGCAGTCTAAGCCTATAGCAGCATAACTAGGGGATAGCTCAGGAAACCCAAGCCGACCCCTAACTATAGGATTTATCAAAAAGGAAAGACATTTAAAAGCTAGAAAACAACCTCAAGACTATCTATGCTGCTGATCTCATGCTGCTGATTTATTTCATGCTGTTGTATTCATTCGTACTCATCTACTCACACAGACTCGTGTTCGTGCTGCTGTTTGGCGTATTGTTTTTGGACTACTAGTGCTTAGCTTGTGAAGCTGTTCGGTTTCCTCTGACTGGCAGTTAACTCGTTACGGACTGAGAATAAAACTCCTGCTGATCCCTGTGAGATGGTCCCGTCAGTCCAGAACCTCTGCAGACCATCAGTCTTTGTGCTTTTATATAAATACCATCTGCACACGTTTATTACTCTGTAAAATGTATAATGTGTGGAATGCCTGCTTTGTATTATAACTGATTTAATCTAATCAACCTTGATGCTTTTCTGTTTTTAAAAGATAAACTGAACCAGTTGAAAGCTTTTTTTTTTTTTTTTTTTTTAATAATTAGTGTAAAACTAAAATCTAAGAAATGTCTGTTCCGTTTCACGTGGAGAATCTGATATGGAACATTGTTTTAGCTAAATGCTTGATTTAGTTTTAAAAACGATGAATTATTTCCACATTTATTTGTGAACGATGCTGATATACAGCTGGTTGTAAAATAAAAAGTTTAAAGGAAACTAAATTATTTTAACTACAAAACATTTCTGAGAGTTTTAAACAATTCATATAATTCTCATTATGTATTAATCAGATGGAGGTGGAGAGCTACTAACGAAAAAACTGGAGATACTTCGGTCGTCGTTGTCTAAATTCAGCTTCTTCATGTTTTGTCCTCCCCTCCTTGTATCGTTGTTTGAGTGAACCGTCACCATTAACCTCTCGCTCTCTGTCTTCATTTGTCTCTTTAGAAAACGCCCTCTGTCTCCGCCCCCCAAGTCATCTGGGAAAGGCCCGGCGATGCCTTCGAGCAGGCCGCCGGCTCCGGCTGCCGGCTCCGGCAAACCCAGCAACACGCTGTCCCGCCGTGAGGAGCTGCTGAAGCAGCTGAAGGCCGTGGAGGACGCCATCGCACGGAAACGAGCCAAGATTCCTGCCAAATAAACGGGAGGTTCAGCTGCTCGTCGGGTCTACGTGAGGCCGATTCCGAGGATGGAAGGACGACACGTTTGTTTTTTATTTTACTTTTCTTTCCCGTCAGCCCTCTGTGGAGCTGCACACGTGCAGGGAAGCTAACACGAACACGAAGCAGCTGCCAGGACAACCATCCTGTTCGGTTGTGACGAACAAGATGGCGGCCAAATATGTTCCACTTTAGGGCGTAAGCCTGACCTTTGACCCCCTCGGAAGCCTTTCAGAGTCTGGGGACAGGCTCGACGACGGTTCGAAGCAGGGAGCGATGGTACACTGCAGCGGATCACCGGCTGGATGCTTCTTCCACATACGACGAAAGCAGACTTCTTCCTCCTGAACCTCCATTTGATCGCCTCCTTCCTGCGAGTGGGGGGGGTGGGGTGCTCCGCTCTGCAGCACTTCACCATGCGTCTCCATGAGCCCGTCTGCGCCGGGCTGCCGTACGGCGTCTGGGTTGCGTTCAGGACGGTTTGTACAGAACCAGCTTCCAGTGTCTGATCATTTACAGCAGTGATGTGAGATGTTCATTTTTATGCTTTTCAGCCGTTTCCTCCTGGAGTGATGAAGCAGTGTTTTATTTGTCTCTTTTAGTTGGACAGGTGGAACGGAGACATTGAGACGAGCGTTGTCGGTCTTTTTTGTGACAAAAAAACCCATTCTAAATAAACTATTTTGATAAAGAGTCAGTACCTGTGTGATTTGTCCTGCTGTCGGGAGGGAGACGTGTCCACCTCTTCCTGTCTTGGGTTCATCGTGTCCTCTTGTCGGGTACGGTCTGAGGCGCCAGCATCACTTCCTGAATTCAGAGCGGTCGTTGTTTTTGACTTTTAGTTCAACAGAATCATTTTAAAATCAATCAAATTAATCTGATCACGACTCAAAGGACAATACGTTAATGTGTCCAACCTGTGAGACATCCGAGTGACTTCTGTAACAGACTTCTGCACCTGTCCACAGGTGTCCTGGTCCAGGGAAACATTGAAGGGCTGAAGTTTTATTCTCCAGATGTTTCAGCTCCTTCCACAGATGTCCGACAGGATCAGGACTCAGGAGGTCACTTCAGAACAGTCCAGTGTTTGGTTCTGATCCAGTCTTGGTGTTTTTAGCTGTGTTTTGGGTCATGAGTCATGGGGAGGACCCATGAGCTGAGACTTGGACTAAACTTTAAGTCGTGTTGACAAAAAGCTAGTTTAGTCTCACCTGTCCAAAAGACATTGTCTCAGAAGCTTTGAGGCTTCTTAATGTGCACTCTTGGTGTCCTCCCTGATTGTCTTCAGTTAAGTCCACTTTGTCTCAAACAGACTGATGGTGTGATCTGACCTTGGACTTTACCTCTTTGTTCGGGACTCTGGTTACTGTTCATATCATCTGCCTCTTTGATCTGTCTTCAGTTGTCCTCTTGTGGACACGACCAGAGAGGTTGTCGCCAGTCCGGTGGACCTTAAACTTCTGAACAATCCTAGCAACTGTAGTCAGAGGAACATGAAGCTGATGGAGACCGTCTGATGGTCTTTACCTTTAACGTGTCATTCATTGTCTCTAAGCCCCGGAGACATTCTGTCCTCAGCTTCCTGTGCTTCAGGTTCAGTGTGTTGCACACCAATGCTACCAAACAGCCCTGTGACTACCTGCATACCAACTGCTTACAGTCCGAAGACACCTGAGTCAAACCCGTGGACACAGTTTTTCGGGGGACCTTTTTTTTATATATATATATAACTCCAGGTCAGTTTTGTGTGTGTGTTCGGCCGACCATCATCCAACAAATAACACTTTTTTTGCCAAAACTTAACATGCAAGATCATCTAAGCGACACATACCAGATTGGTCGAGGCCCGAGTTAACGACCTCCACCTGTGCTGCTGACAAACGGTGCCGGTGGAAATTGTGCTTCTGTTAGTCGAAGACCGCAAGGAGGGAAACAAGTCAGGAGACGGAGAGAAGAGGAAAATCAAAATTATAGGACTGAAGGTTGCAACTCTAAACGTGGAGACAATGACAGGCAAAAGTAGAGCTGGCTGACATGATGCAGGGGTCTCCACAGTGAGTCCTCCACCTCACTCTGTCCTCTGTGTCCTCTATCCTCACTCCAACTACCTCCATGTCCTCTCTAACTGCATCCATATATCTCCTCTTTGCCTTTTTCCTGGCAGATGCATTTCTAACATCCTTCTACCAATATGTCCCTGTCCCTCCTCTGGACATGTCCAAACCCCTGTCCCTCCTCTGGACATGTCCAAACCATCTCAGCCTGGCCTCTCTAACTTTATCTCCCAGTTGTTCAACCTGTGCTGTACCTCTGATGATCTCATTCTTAATCTTATCCATCCTTGTCACTCCTAAGGAGAACCTCAACATCTTAATTTCTTCTTCCAGTTCTGTCTCCTGTCTTTTTGTCCATGTCTCTGTCTCCAGACCATACAACATAGCTGGTCTCACTTGCTGACACCCTTTTATCACAAATCATTCCTGAAACTTTTTTTCATCCACTCCATCCTGCCTGGACTCTCTTTTTCACCTCTTTACCACACTCCTCATTTTCCTGGACCGTGAACCCCAAGTCCTTGAAGTCCTGCACCTTTGTGACCTCTGCTCCTTGTAGCCTCACTGTTCCACCTCCTCCCTCTCATTCACTCACATGTACCTTGTCTTACTACGGCTGACTTTCATTCCTCTTCTTTCAAGTCCATACCTCCACCTCTCCAAGTTCTCTTCCACCTGTTTCCTGTTCTCACCACAGATCACAATGTCGTCAGCAAACATAGTCTGCAGGGATTCCTGCCTGACCATCTGTTAGTCGGTCCATCACCAGAGCAAACAAGAAGGGGCTCAGAGCCGATCCTTGATGCACTCCCACCTCCACCTTGAAGCTATCTGTCTCTCCTACAGCACATTTCACCACTGCCCTGCTGTCCTCATACATGTCCTGTACCATTCTAACGTGTCCTGCTGTCCTCATATGTGTCCCGTCTCCAGATGTTAGAGTTGACTGTAACGTTTTGTCCATTTGTTTTTATTTGTAAAAAATAGCCTCTTTTGTTTTTCAGGTCTTTAATGTTAATTTTTTTTACCTGTATTTTTGTTTACAAATATCTTCTCTGACATTAATAAATCTGCATCTTTTCACGTCTACAGTGGATCAAATATCCAACAACTGAAACATTGGACTGTAGATCCAGTTCTTGTTGTTTTGAAGTCCAGTTTGTTTCTGGGTGTTACAAAAGTTCTGTTGGCTGATAGAATCTGCTGACATCTACGCTCTGGTTGTCCACCCAGACTTCATCTATCTGTTGAGTCATCTGCTCGTTTTCCTGCATCGGCGTTCTTGACTTCTGAGGACTGTCCCACACAAAACCAGTCTGAGGACCAGAGGCAGTCCACTGTTGCATCATTCCAGGACGTGTGAAGTCTGTGGAAGGAGTGCCTGGTGAAACCGCTGCCTGACTCATCGGCATGTCAGAGGAGAGGAGGACATTTCAACCTGTGGAGACGAGTCCCTGCCTGGACTTCCTGTTGTCCTCCACAACTGTTGTTGGACCGGTCAGAATCTGGTCAGAATGGCTGACGCTGCATCTTCAGACACGTTCATTCATGTGAAGAAACATTTCATTAAGTTACAACTTTCCTAAGAAGTCCAAAATCACAATCCAGGCCCAGGTGCTGAAAAGTCCAGATCCAGCAGGTTCAAGTAAATGCTCGCACCTCTAATATGGGTCAAAGGTCAAAACCTAGAAGTCCCAAGTCCAAATCAGCCGCTTCTTCTGAGCTGAAACAAGCTGGACTTTATGTAAACAAGACCAGCCTGAATCAAGACCTAAAGTTCTACAAAGAGACGTGACTTGTCTCAAAACCTCTTGATCCTAAATCAAGACCAGCTGGTTTCAAACCAGATCCAACAAGTCCAAAGTCCAAACCAGATGGAAGTGACACTAATAGCTTCTCATTTAGCACCAAGTCTTGAGTTTTAGTCCAGGTCAGGTCTCAAGTCTGGTTCCACAGGGACAAAATCAGGAGTCATGTTTCAAGAGTGGACATGAAACTGAACATGTTCAGATCTAAGTTGAGTCCTAAAGGATTAAAAAGTCTGAACTAGACCCACAACCCAAGTCCTTTCAACCCAGGTCCAGAGCTCTAACCTGGTTCCTGAGTCAAAATCTTCTAGTCCGAAACCCAAAACAAGCTTGTTCTGACTAGAACTCAAAATCAGGGTTTATGTCAGGGTCAACAAGTCCCCAAAGAAACATAAAAATGTCCAGACCCGACTTACAAGACTCAAAACCTGTTTGCCTGTCAGAACCAGCAGGTTTTTCCTGGACCTGTGAACTTTGTTGCTCTGGTGGTTCTTCTGGACCCTGGTTATCACTTCCTGTTGGATTCAGATTCCCAGAATTCCAACGGTGCTGGTTTTGGGTCTGCAGAGATGTGGTTTTGTGATGGTTCTGGACTTGGATCAGGGTTCTTGACAAAGCTAAGAATGAGACGGCCCAATGAAACAGACCTTCAGAAACCGGAAGAAGAACACCGGTCCCAGTGTCTGGCATGGCAGTGGCAGCATCATGCTTGGGGCTGTCGGGCTGCACAAAAAGTTCAGTCGAGGCAAAGCCCGGTTCTGGTACGGTCTGGGTTTGAGCTGACCTTGTCTGATTCAATGCTTCAGTTGAAATCTGACGGTGCTGCAGGAAATACCCAGCATCACGCCTCGGACTATTTGCTGATGCCAATAATTTGTGGCTAGCTAATGGATAACTGGAGCAATGCAGGTGTCGACCCGCGGGTCAGAACCAGCTATTTGCTGCATGACGTCGGAAAGCAGGAATGCTGGTTTTGAAAAGTGAAAGTTGTGAGGAGGGAAAATTGGAGGAAAGTTGGAGGAACCTGGAATTTACAGAGTTTGTCTCTGTTGTTTCAGCTGATTTTATTTACGGAACCAGCAGAAAAACAAAAACATTTCACATCAAACGCAAAACGTGTTTGTTCAGATAAGTTCTGCAAGAACCGAGCGGCTCTGCTTTCATTCAGACAGAAAATGTTGACTTTCAGAACTTTTTTATTTAGTTGTTTTCTTTGTTGTTGTTTATGGACAAATGTTGCTCATGTTGTTGTTTTATTGTTTTGTTTAGTTGTAGGTGTCTCAGGTGTGAAGTGTTTTTGTTTCTTTCACTCAGAAAAGATATATTTATATATATGTACTTAT